AAAAAAAAAAGACTTGCATGAAAAAAAGCTTAACCATCCCCCAAGTATAAGAGCAGCTTTGTTGTTACAATTGTGTTGCAAGTGGTTTCTGTGACCCATACATATCTTTGTAAACAGCTTTGTCCAGATTTGAGTAGTCCAATGATGTGTATGTAAAAACATTCCTTAAAATAGTGTGGGGAGAGCTTTTTTCTCAGGTATTCACAGGCAGGAAAGGGCTTAATTTATTGTCACCTGAAGAACAAATGATGTAAAAAGTTACCATCACTCCTGATTGAAAATTTGGTTAAATTAGGAATGAAAGAAAGCATTCTTAATTTAAAAGGCTTTTAATCCTAATCAAGAGTAAATATGTAATTGAAAAATAATGATTTTAATAGAAAAAGGAAGAAGACACAGAAGCTGGGAGCAATATTTTTGTGTTTTTCAGCCCACTCTCCTCTTTTTTACTTTTCTTGGTTTCCTGGAAGACCTAGCTACTGCTATTAAAAAAAAAGTAGAACAAATAATGCAAAGCAGATTTTGTAATATACTGACACTTCAAAGACTGGAAAAGAGAGCAGGAGGAAATTGTAGGTACAGTCAAGTAGTTTGAGCAAAAACTTGACTTAGGAAATGCTCATGTGTGTGGCTGATTTGGCTAAATCACTAAAAGGAACAGCTAAGCAGCAAAATGCATCTACTTTTAAAAAAAAAATCTTAATTTTAGTTACTCTGTAATGAGTTCTAGTGGCAAGACACTGCACTGCAATCCCAAAGGCACTTGGTTCAAGGCCACCAGCTGCTCCTCAGGAGAAGGATGGGCAGTCTCCTCCTATGCAATTAATTGCCTCTGAAAACCTGCTGGAGGGTCAGCTGTGGGTCAGTTCCAACTTTATGGTATACAACAACACACTGCTTTCTAAATATTGTTTGTTAAAAGGTCTTTGATAGAGCATTATTTCACCGTATTTTAATCTTAAGTCTTTTTAAGGCCTACCATCTCATGCCATCGTGAAGTGGCATGCGTCTTATTCCCTAATTTTTCTCACTCATGCAGTGGAGCTTGTGCCAGATTGTCCAAGACCTAATTCCTGTAGAATAAGAACTCTTTGGAAAGGGAGTTGTACGTGTCTTGCTTGATAAGATAATGTTTAATGATAGTACACTTATAGCTGAAGGTGGCAGTATCCAAACCGTACCATGGTGACAGATATGAGTAACAATGGCAGCATTTAGAGTGAGTCAGTGTCAGAAAGGGATTGTGTTTGAAGATTACGATGTTAATAGTAAATTCCTTTTCATGTCATACCAAATTCGGTAATAATATTTGTAAATGTATTGCATGTTTACTAAAATTTTGCATGGGCTAATTTTTATTATTCAGATCAAATAATGCCTTTTAACACATCCCCTATAGGAAAAAAAAATGGAAAACGGCCCATAAATTAGGTGTTTTACCCTAACGACTGGTGTTAAAGTTTATTAATGTCTTGTTTCAAGGACATTTTTGAATGATGGTGAAGAAAAAGCTAACGACACAATAAAATTAACTGCAGAGAAGCTTTCAGTTGATGAAGTTTCACAGTTGGTGTCCTCTCCACTCTGTGGTGCAATATCTCTGTTCGTAGGTGAGTTGTAATTTTCACTGTGGTTTTTTACTGAGGCCCCCAACATGGTGAGTTGACACAGGAACTGCCGCAGTGGGCTCATGCGTGGTAAGGGTCATCAGGATGGTGCAGGAGAGGGCAAACTTTCAGTCTGTTGTTCATAGGGTCACCATGAGTCAATTCCGCAACACCTAACAATAATATGACAATAGAATTTAGTGCTTCCCACATTCTGTGTTAACATTCAGTGGATTTTAGGATCCTGACCATTTAGCCAAGAAGACTCATTATAGTAACTGGAGGGGGAAAAAAGTAATACTCTTCAAATTAACCTATGTTAAATTATTGGGCATAAAGAAATAAGATAACTCGTTATTAAGAGAGTGAACTACTTATTAGAGGGCACTGAAGCCTTAAATAAAGATTCAGAGGATTTATTTAGCATTAGACATTTGGATGAGAAAGCACTAGCACACAAAAATAATTTCGAAGGGTATGTCCTGAGCCAGGACAGATACAGGGCAAGAAACAAAAAGATTATAATAAGATCATTGGCCAAATTTTTATTGATGCCTAAAAGAGAGGGTTAAAGAAGTAGGGGATGACTTCCTTTGGATTCAAATACTGATATATATTTAGCTGGGTACAAAATTTATAGTCATGGGGTGCTTACAATGTATATTTTTCAGAACAGGTTATAAAAAGATAAACAGTTGATGTAAAATATTTCTTGGAATGGGAGCTGGTAATAAAGTAACAACACGAAGACTTCTCAAACTATTTAGGTGAAACTTTCTTGATTGCTTGAGAAACTTGAATAGCTGTCAGCTGACTAAGTTTTCTTTTTAATACTTGGGTTCTTTATTCTTACCATGAAAAGAAGATTTCTTAAATCCATTTTACATTAGTGTATCTGTATCAAAACCTCCTTGCTTTCATATCCTGAGAAAAACTCTCCCTTATTTAACAATTCTCTTAACTAGATAAGAAGCCCACAGAGATCTGTGTAAAAGTCTGTTATGATTTGATGAAGATAGCACAAGTATAAATCAAGCATTTTACTTTTGATCAAAAGTTAAAAATATTTTTCTTTGTAGAATCAGCATTTTCCAAATAGTGAAGAGAAGGAAGTACTTGATTGATAACCATGGCAATTTTAATATTTTAAGTATCAAATATTAACTGTTAGTCAAAAAAGGAATAGAGTATGTCATGTTTCTCATAGGAGAATTTTTGTACACTCACTTAATCCTTGGTCATCTGTATATTATCTTTTTAATAACACTTCCCCGTAGGAAATTTGCACCTACTAGCTAGGTAAATTGGTTTGCTAATTTGATATTCAAAAATAATAATTTTTATGCTCTTCATGTTTGATTTATAGTATCATAAAAATACCTTGTTTTAATTATAGTTCTGGTTTTCTTTCTCTTAGGAACTACAAGAAATAACTTTGAAGGGAAGAAAGTTATTAGTTTAGAATATGAAGCCTATCTACCAATGGCAGAAAATGAAATCAGGAAAATTTGTAGTGACATTCGGCAGAAATGGCCAGTCAAGCACATAGCTGTGTTCCATAGACTTGGGTATGTTTTTTTTTTTAATCAGTGTAAAAAAAAGTTCAGATGATTTCCCCTTTGTACAAATTCCAATCTGGAATTTTTCATAGGAATTCTAAATCACCACAAAAGGAAGGTTTGTGTATATTACTGCAGGACAATAGAGTCACCCCACCGGTGCACTCAAAGGCAAGCTTGGGGGGTTGTGACACTGGGGTCACTTGTTTCCTCAAGTGGAGTAACAAGAGCAAAGTTCACATGTGAACAGCTTTCAGCCCCTGGGTCTATGGTGCCTTCAAGTCCAGTTCTACTCGTGGCGACTTTTTGAACAGCTAACCTGGACTTTGCCCTATCCTGTGTCATCCTCACCCAAGTATGATATCCCTTTCCAAAGAACAGCCTAGCTACATGTCCAGAGTATGGAAGGCAAAGCTTCTCCATCTTTGCTTCCAAGAAACACTGGGGTTGCACTTTTTCAAGACATACCTGTTTGTCTTTTGGCAGTCCACAGGATATTCCTTACTCTTCTCCAGCACCACAACTCAAAGGCATGAATTCTTCTGTAATCCTTGTTCACTTTCCAGCTCTCTGATGCATAGCAGGTAATTGAGAAGACCATGGGCTGAAGCAGGGGCACTTTAGTCTTCAAACTGACATCATTGCTCCAGGTGACTGGAATGCAAAAGTTGGAAACAGTGAGGGAGGAAGGAATGGTAGTCAAGAAGTACAAACTTGGTGGCAGAAATGAGGCCAGAGATCAAATGATTAGATTTTGTGTGCATGCTTGCCCATGGTGGACAGTGTTTGGTGGAGCTCCCAGTTTAAGAAAGGTTTGAAAGCAGGAGTGGCATCTGCTTCCTAAATCACATGCCTCTGGAAACTATGAACTTGGAGAAACAACAATAGTTATAGAACAGCTTCAGGTCTTTTGTTCATAGGGTTGCTGTGAGTTGTGCTAGACTCATGACAATCATCAACAATAACACCAAAAACATTTATTTACAGTAAAAACCTTTTTTAAAGACTGTAAACAGAGGCTTTACACATGGACTTCACCTGATGGATTTCTGAGGAATCAGATTGACTATATTTGCTTGGAGAAGGAATTGTTGGAGAAGCGCAGTATCAGCAAACAAAACCAAACCAAGTGCCGATTGTGAAACAGCTTCACTTACTCATGGGCCAGTTGAAGCTGAATAAAATTAAAACTAGTCCAGTTGAATTTAAGAATCATCTCAAGAACTGGTTTGAGGCATTGAACACCAGTGATCCAAACAATAACTGGGAGGACATCACACATAGTGTTCATGAAGAGAGCAAGGGATCCTTACAGAAGGAGGAGAAAGAAAAAACCAAAATAAATGTCAATAGAGACTATGAAAATAGCATTAGAACATTGAGAATCCAAAACAAAAGGAAGAGATCCCAAGGCGGGAGGCGGGGAGCTGAACTGAAGATTTGAAAGGGCAGCTCAAGAAGATAAAGCAATATGAAATAGCCTGAGCCTGAGATGGCTTGGGCTGATGGGTGCTGAAGACCTTGAGACCTTCTCAGAATTCTTGCGTGGCCTGACCTGAGTGTAAGTGACAGTCTGCTTGAAGGTCATTTCAATGTTAATGCTTTCAAAGGTAATTCAGTTAGTTTGCCTATTATACCACCAGGAGGAACAGAGTTTTTTGGCTAATCAGTCATTGAGACTGTAGCGGTCCTATTTTATTTGCTTTTATTTTGTTTTCTACAAATTTAATTATGTCGGAAGCTGATGGCATAGCCCTTAGGGAATTCCGTTGCTATTCAGATAATTCAAAGGCAGTGCCTCTTTGGTGATCATATCCACCCTTAGCTTTGTGGGAGAAAGATGCAAAATCTCCTTTCCTGATTTACATCCTCTGGAAGCCTAACCCTCTAGAGGGTCACCCATGAGTCTGTTCAACGCTTGAACAGTGAGTGAGTTAGAAAGTGAATAGTAATTGCCTTACTGCTCATTTATTTTATTAGTAATTAATATCATCAACTCTGCTACTTATTTATAACTCTTTTGATGTTTACATTTCTCCATTATACTCATGTTGCAGGTCTGCATTTTTAGGTATTACCTGGCACTATGTCTTGTGTGTTTGGATCATATGATTATCGAATTGGTGAAAGGGTTTTTTTTCTGCCTAACTAACGTTCATCACCAAGGTTTAGTGGATGGATGCTAACACGTCAGTCACCACCTTGGCATTGTCTTTGCTGAATACAGCTGGAAGGAATTGCAAGCTGGACCTTCAAATAAAACAGAACTGCAGTATATATAGTTCTGAGAGAACTTACTGTGCTTCATTTTCATATGCAGGGAGATTCAGAGTTGATGCTAATTGTGTTGTTTGTCTTGCTAAAGCTTGGTTCCAGTGTCAGAAGCCAGCATCATCATTGCCGTGTCCTCAGCCCACAGAGCTGCGTCCCTGGAAGCTGTGAGCTATGCCATTGAGGCTTTGAAAGCTAAGGTGCCTATATGGAAAAAAGTAAGCGTTTTCCCCAAAGACTATTAGAGGAAGGGAGTAAAGGTCCATACAGTTTCTATTTATACCCCATCCCTGACTCTGGTGGCTCAGTGGTAAGAAACTGCTGCAGTCCCAAAGGCATGCAGTTCAAATCCACCAGCAGCTCCTCCAGAGAAAGATGGGCCGTGTCCTCCCTTGGGATTATTGCCTCTGAAAACCTGCTATGGGTCCATTCTGACTCTACAGCACAAAACAGCAACACCAAGAACCTGACTTTATAGAAACTTGTTTTATCTGTGAAATAGGGCTTTTAAGTACTATCATCTTTCTAATGGTTTTCAAGCATGAAAAGGTGTACTTCCAGGAAAGGCTGTGGCACAGATTAACTCTGAACAAATGTTAAGATCCCTACTCTTCTCTGTACTGTGGTTCTTACATGAACATCATTTCGTTTGAGTTCTAATCTTTTACCCACTCCACTGCTGTGAGGTCACTCATGTGACTCTCTGTTGGGTTTTCAACTTTGGAAATATTCACAGGAGAAGATTGCCCATCTTTCTCTGAGGAGCGAGTACCTACCTGGTGGATTCAAACCACAGACAAGCTTAATTGTTAAGCTTGCAGTTAGCAGCTTAACTTGTAATGTGCCAGACCATCAGGGATCCTATAATCTTTCCCTTGGAGAATGGAAATAATACATGACTGCTTCAGTAATGGCTAAAATGATCCTTTTAGATCTCTGGTGGGGTTTTTGTGGTAAAAGGAAGAGGGGAGTTATTTTTTTGCTTCCTCTAAGAAAATGCAGATTAAAAAAAAAAAAGAAATGCAGATTTTAAACAAATAGTAAGTTATACCTTTTTTTTGTCCTTAAACTAATCAGTAAGATAAACTTCCTTTCATTAAATTGAGAACTCTTAGGGGACCTCTGGTGGCCTAGTGGCAAGAAGCTGCAACTATACAATCCCAGAGGTGCATGGTTCGAATCCACCAGATGCTCTGCCGGGGAAGGAGGGGCAATCTCCTCCTATACCAGTCAGATCTGATTTGACGGTACATGCACACAAAAATAATAAAATAAAAAAAATAAAATTGAGAACTCTTTTGGCCTTATAACGGTAAGAAGCTGCACTGCAGTCCCAGAAGCATGTAGCTCAAATCCACCAGCTGCTCTGTGGGAGAAGGATGGACAGTCTCCCAGTGTGGGACTTACTGCCTCTGACAACCTGCTGGAGGGTCAGCTATGGATTAGTTCTTAATCCACGGCTTACAGCTCCAAAAAAGGCATGGAAAGGCCCAGCTCCTTGCTTTCTCCACTGCTGTAGCAGCAGTAACAGTGGGCTTGCTTTGTATATGTTTAAAGGAATCATTTTACTTCAGAGTCTAGAATGACCACAATATTGAGGCTCGTAGCAGAGTGAAGAGACTAATTCATTAGTGTATCAGAAGGCCAAGACAGAGGCCAAGGCTTTTCAAGGGTGAGTTTCTTCTTTTTTCTAAAAGTTTACTCTCTTAATCAGTGGTAAGGGTGAGCAAACCGGTTTTCAAAATCCAGGGCCTGTGACATTTAGTGGCCGTGCTTTCTGAATAAAAATTGAAACCCATTATGATACCTGTACACTTTGAGATTAACCCAGTGAAAACTCTGAGAGTAGATGCTAAGATATGTGAAAGGTGGCTGGTTAGCAGTAAAGCTCAGCTGTAAGGTGGTTTTGTTGTGAGCCAGGCTGTCATCATTTTGATAGATCACAGGGCAGCCCCCGAGCAGAGAACTACAGGTAGGAAGGAGAGATACAGAATGAGCTGGGAGACAAGAGACAACTGACAGAAAGGAGAAGAAGCCATACCTGGATCACAAAACAAAGAAGAGAGCAGGAGGTGGGATATACTCTTGTTTTTTTTATGTTTTCAGAACTAACGAGGTTCTTTCCTTTCCTTTGACTATGGAGCATTGAGGAGTGTCCAGCTATTGAGAGGACAACTGAATTTGGATTCCTATCCTTGTAGTAATAGATCTGGATAGAGAGAGAAAGAACAATCAATGATGTCTCTTTTCCACACGTTACCTCAGTTTAAGTCTGGTTCAGGTCCTAGCCCATACTTTCAGATCATCTGTGTCCAGTAGAGGGAGGTAGGTGGCCAGGTGGGTGGGACGCGTGCTGTACTTGATGAAGCAGGTCCCACCATCGTGCAGCTCAGTCCTGCTTAAGACTCAAATAGCCAGTGGCACTGATCTTTCCCCTCTTGGAAGTTGGGAGTGTGTTTGGAAAGAAAAAAAATGTTTGTTACTGAATACCGCTGCTGCTACCTGTCACAGCCCCCTCTTATTGGTGGTGGTTGTTGTTATGTGCCGTCGAGTCGTTTGCGACTCATAGTGACCCTATGTACAACAGCCCTAAACCGTGCTCTATCCTGTGCCAATCTCATTGCCTCTGACACACCCATCCCGATTACCCCAGTCACTGAATCAGTCTACCTCATAGAGGGTCTTCCCCTCCTGCGCTGTCCCTCTACTCTACCCGGCATGATGTCCCTCTCTAAAGACCTCTCTCTCCTTACAACATGTCCAAAGTATGTCAGACGAAGCCCCAGAATCCTTGCCTCCAAGGAGCAGCCTGGTTTAACCCTCTCTAGGGTGAATCTGTTTGTTTTCTTGGCAGTCCATGGTACATTCAATACTCTTGGGTTGGGGACTAAATACAGGGAACATGCTTACTCATTTTTATGCTCTCAGTACCTTCCACAAATGCTTATTGTTTCATTAAAAGAGGAGCAGCTTAAATAGATGTGGCCTGATGTGTTCAAATGTCTTTGCATTTATTAAAGTGCTCAATTTTGAATACACATCTTGATGCTTCTCTCTCTTTCTTTTTTCCTTAGGAAATGTATGAAGAGTCATCTTCGTCTTGGAAAAGAAACAAAGAATGCTTCTGGGCCACCAATGATTAAATCAGTTATATTTTTAGAACACTAAAATTTAAATTTGGTAGGTTTTTATCAATGATCACATTTTGAATTTCTCACTGATTCTCTTTACTAACATGCAGGATCTGTTTGACACTAGTGAGACAGAAGGAAGAAATAAATTAATCAGGGTAAAGGGGAGGGTTTATATAAGGACAAGTATACAAGATAGAGGAAAAGCTCCAGAGAAAAAAGGGAGTGATTTCAGTGTGAGAGAAAGATGCCTGCGGTTGGCATTCCGTTCTATAACTGAGTTCTGAGTGTAACCCGGCTCACATGACCTGTGTCCCCTCCTCGCTGACTAGAACCATCTCGGCGTCCTCCTTCTCCTAGAACATGCATTTCTATCATTGTTGGAGAGGGTGTGTGATATGAGTGTTGACAGAGCTGATGGTATCAGAAGGTATCATCATTATGTATTTTTCAGAATTTATGTAAATTATGAAATGAAGCAAAATAAATATATTACTTAAAAACTTTATACCGTATTTTTCCAGGTTTATTTTTTCCTTTCAGTGAGAATACTTAAAAGTATTTAATAATAAGGATGTTTATAGTATTTCCCAGTCGATACTGTTAGGAGGGTGCTCTGGTATCCTAGTGATAAGAAGCTGCACTGTTGAACCAACGACATACAGTTCAAATCCACCGCTGCTCTGAGGAAGAAAAATAGAGTGCCCCTCTGGGTTTTATTGCCTCTGAAACCAGCCATGGAAGGGTAGCTATGGTCTGTTCTGACTCAATGGTGCATAGCATGTTGGGCCTCATCAAGGTGTTTATTATTCATATTGCCACTAAGAAAAGCAGATCAAAGCCTTGCCCTGTCTATATCTTACTATTAGTACTTTTTAAATTTTATTAGTATTGATATTGTTTATTATTATTGATACTGACACTGTATCAGTACAAAATTAAGGCTGAAACTTGGAAAGCAGACACAGTAACAGCCATGTGGTTTATGTTCTAATGATGTTGGTTTATAAATTCAGTTCATAGCAAATTAAAGATGAAAAGCAGATCATTTTTGACAGTATTTTCAGACTTTTTGGGTTTAGTTCCTTATGTAACCTCGTTTGGGAAATTGTTAAGAATCAGTTTTCTGTAAGACTTTTCTAGTAAAAGATGATCCAGTTTATGGAAGCTGGAGTGGCATCCACTTCTGAAATGGCTCGCCTCCAGAAGCTCGATGAACCGTGCTCAGGTCTTTCGTTCATAGGGTGGCTGTGAGTCGTATATGGCTCAACGACACCTAACAACAGCCTATTATAAGGAAGCTCTGGTGGCCTAGTGGTAAGGAGCTGTATTGTCAGCCCAGAGGCATGCAGTTGGAATCCACCTGCTGCTCTATGGGAGACAGCTAGACGGTCTCCTCCAGCTGTTTACTGCCTCCGTAAACCTTTGGAGGGTCAGTTATGAGTCAATTCTGACTCGATGGTACCCAACAACAACAGTCTATTGTACACTGTCTGGATAGGTAAATGTATAAGTTCTGTATAGGTCTTAAAGTAATAGTAAAGTAAAATGGTGTGTAATTCTTAAAGTGATAAAGTCCATTTTGAGTAGTCACCATTGTAAAGTTTGCAGTATGAATACCGGAACACACTCAACTCTCAGTTGCAGATGGGGTGGGTGGTGTTTTCCTTGTTTCTGCCACAGATAAGAGACTTAGTAAAAATATTTACTTCATCTTATGAAAGCATCTTTTTTACCTGTGAAACTCATTGATTTGATTAATTTTGAACACCTGTTCCATGCCAAGCACTCACCAAATGGCCTCTGCCCACCATCCTCAAATACCAGTGGGCTGATGTGGGGTGATTCTGCATCCAGCTCTGGCTGGGACCCACAGGACAGCCACACTGACTTTAGGGTGTAACCTGCTTAGCTGGGTGGGGGAGAGGTGTCTATGTATTGGCCCAGGAAGCCTGGTGATGCCGTAGTTAAGCATTTAGCTCACTGGCAGGTCAGAAGTGTGAGTTCACCTGTGACAATGAGGAAGGAAGATGAGGCAATCTACCTGAGCCCCATGGGGAAGTCCCACTCTGTAACGTCACATTGAGTTACCATAGAGATTCCTTGGCCTGATCCAGAGACGTTGGATCAGAAGGATACTAGTAAGACAGACAGACAAATTGCTAGCTAGTCACTGAAGGACACAGAGTGGCCTGTCTGGTTTCTGCCTTTGTTTTATGTTACAGGTTTTATTGTGACTCACAGTGGCCCTATATGACAGAATTGCGTATTGAGTTCCTGTGGCTGAAATCTTTATGTCAACACATTTACCAGGTCTTTCTCCTGAGGAGCTGCTGGCGAGCAAGCCTTCTGGTTGGCAGCCAAGTGCTTAATGTTGCATCACCAGACCTGGTTTCACCCTTGCATCCCTTGAGTGCAGTGCCTCCCAGTCTCTTGCAATCAACTTTAACCTGCCCTCACTGGAGAACTAGGGCCCGGTGTTGGGCAGAGCTCGTATTATCTCTAAAAACACATTTCATAGGGTTACCGTGCCACCGTAAACATTGTTCTCATGCAGCTATTACATATAACATAGTGTACTATACTCATTGCCATTCAGCCAGAACTGGCTCATACCTGACCCCCTGGTGGGGTTTTGGAAGCTGTAAATCACATGGGAGGTGACTGCCCATTTTTCTGCCAAGGAGCTGCTGGTAGATTCAAACTGTGAGAGAGGTTAGCAGTGCTAACCCAAGTGTAAATTGCCTTTGGATTAGCAGTGCAGCTCCCTATGGACCGTGCCTCCTGAATCCCGACATACCAGTATAGACTATTGCTGCTGTTGTGTGCCATGGGATTGGAACTGACCCTTAGCTGCTAACTTACGGTGGGTTTTCAGAAGCAGTTAATCACAAAGGAGGAAATAACTCATCCCCTTAGAGAGTAGGTGGTGGGTTCAAACCTTTTAGTTTTCAGCACAGCTGCTTACCACTAGGCAGCATAGACTACATGTGTGTGTATATGAGGGAGGCGTCCACTTCCTAAACAAGATGCCTATGGAAACTACGAACTTTGATAAATGTCGACGGGTATAGAGGGGCTTCAGGCCTTTTGTTCATGGGGTCGCTATGAGTTGTGCTCGACTCGAAGGCAATCAACAACAGCAGCACCACTTGGTAGCTTAGTGGTAAGGGAGTGTGCTGCTGATGCAGAGGGACACAGATATAATCCAGTAGTTGCTCTGCAGAAGAAAGCCGGTCTCCCGCCGTGCGATCTATTTACTGCCTCTGAAAACCCAGGGCAGGGTCAGCTACAGGTGGGTCCCAACTTGACATTATACAACAACTTTATATAAAAATTACATTAATATAGCACACTATTCTGATATATGAATTAGTGTTGTTATGTGCCGTCGAGATGCCTGTGACTCGTAATGACCCTGTGTACAATAACTCTGAACCCTGCCCTATCCTGAGCCATGTTATTGTCTCTCTGATACATTTACCTCCATCGCTTCAGTGCCTGTGTCAGTCCATCTCATCCATGGTCTTCCTCTCTTGAGATCCATCCACCCTTCTCCCCCCCCCGCCCCTCCCCCGCGCCCTTCCAAGCATGATGTCCTTCTCCAAGGACTGGTCGTTCCTGGCCACATGCCCAAAGAATGTGAGATAGAGCTTCAAAATCCTTGCCTCCAAGGAGCAGCTTGGTTTCATCCTCTCCAAGATAGACCTGTTTGTTCTCTTGGAGGTCCATGGTATGTTAAAGACTTCTCCAGTGCCACAGCTCAAAAAGAATTTATTACTCTTCTGTCATCCTCAGTTGTTGTCCAATTCTCTGCATAGCAAAGACCATGGCCTGACAATGACTGGCATCATTGCTCCCTTGGCATTTCTTAAGCTGAAGGAACTGAAGAACAAACTCAAGCTTCAAGTTGCAATACTTAAGGATGCTATGGGCAGAATATTGATTGATCCAGGAAGCATTAAAAGGAGATGAAAAGTACAGAGTCCCTGTACCAAACAGAATTGGCTGACTCAAGAATTTCATGAAACAACATATAATCAAGAAACAATGGTGATGAAGAAGTTCAATATGCTCTGAAGGAATTAGTGAAAAATAAGGCCCTACAAATTGATGGAATACCAGTTGACATATTTCAACAGATGTTGCCCTTGTTTCATTTATTACTATGCAAAATTTGTAGATTCTAAGGTTTTTCTCTGTAAGAAATACTTTATTAGTAATACTTGCTTTTAAAGGGCACAAAATATTCTATAAACACATTTTTAAAGAATTAAGCCTTCATTATGTAAACTCTAAATCTGGAATACAGAATATTATACTTTTACTTCTACTATTATACTTTATAGGGATTAAAGAGTTAATGTGGGCATCCCAGACATACCCTTGAACATTTTAGTGCATCACATGATACTCAGATAAGATCTTCACTGATCCTTACTTTTCTCAGGAAGTGGCAGAGATTTCATGGATGAGATAGCAAGGCTGACATTAGTATCTCTGATGCTCAACTGATTCTGTTACTGCAGCATAACACTTAAAAAAGAAGAAAAAAAATCAGCCTTTAAAAAGATCATTCAAGGTCACTTTGGAACTATAAATGTTATTTCAAGAGGAAAATGCAACTTGAGCTTAGATAGTTCTGATCTGGTAACAAAATTAACTCTCACCTTTGAATGAAAGTAACAGCTGATAGCCTGTGAGTTAAATATTTTTTGTCTGTCTTTGCCATTTGGGTGTATGCTTAGAGTTGTGATATACTTTTAATTTACTGTTAAAAATGAGATTAGTTTGAGAACTCAAAGTTTGGCTTTGCTGTCCAATCCCTGTATGAACTCCAGCAGATGTGGAATGCAGACTCCTGAGTTCATCCTGAGTGCAGCACCTGCTCCCCCCGCAAGCCTGCCAGGCCCCTGGCCTGCTGCAGTGGCCTACTTGCTGATGACCCCTACTCCTACCCCAACACCCCCACTGCTGCTCATCTTTCTCTTTTGTTCCTTTCACCACAGACT